TAATTAAAAATACAACGAAAAGAGAAGGTAGGGTGGAATAAAATCGTTCCCCTCTGCGAAAAATCTCACGTACTTATAGAATATCTTTCGTTTCCAAAACTTTTATAACGCGTAGTCGTCGGAAAATGTGATATATATATCATTCGGATTTGACGGTGTGTTCGGTTTTAAGCTTTGCTGGGAATTCGAATTTCAGTTAGTCGTACGAACTGTTGTTTCGTTGAATGCGCGCGTCTTCTATTTTAACACCTACGTGATTTATCAAAAACGCCGAAATTACAAAATGTATTAGAACGATATTTTTGGTGAAAAATGAAGCCATATTTGCCGGAGGTATATAAATTAAATTTGAAACTGGGCAGCTGCCTTCTAAATTGCATTTTTATGGGTCCTATAAGTTGCAATCTAATATGTTCCAGTTTGTAAGAAAGACAAACAACCTAAGGGCTAACATTTTAAAAATTTAAGTAGTTTAATGGTTTGGCCGTTGTGACAGTGGCAAATAAGTACCGATATATACTGTTTTATCGAGCGTATCGACCCTGTTCCGGTTTTATTACTCCGGATTTAAAATATTAAACTCACGTGCTTTGGTCGAAGGATAAACAACCACCATCCTTCGTCACGTAGTTTTATATATAGTTTTCCTTCTTTTTGTTACTTATTAGAAAATAGACCACCTAAAGCACTGCCATTATTGCACCGGGATTGGTGCAAAAATTAATCATTTTCTCACGTACGAAAATATATATTTTATTAAGGTTGAGCGAAAACAAGTTTTAAATCATTATTGACCCTACCGGTGCTTTGCTGTTTAAAATTAGAATTATAGTTACTTTCCGGCAGCTTTTTGTCACTAAAACTCAACCATTCGGAGTTGCAAAAATAGTAGAAATGTGTACGAATATAAGTGGAGTTGGACAGTCAACAATATACTGACTTGCTACCCCATAGGATGATCAAAAAAAAGTACATGAAGAAAAGAAACAGAAACTGTAATAAATGAGGATGAAAAGACTACCATCTGCAGCATAATACACACGTGTTACTTAAAAAAAGAAATATCTACCATGCACTTTACTTCACCCATGGTTAAGAAGAAATTGTGGAAAACTTTGAAAGGAATGAATTTTGGTTAAGAAAAAACTCAAAAAAAAACACTTTTAAGACAAAAAATAGAGACTCCGCTTTTAAAATGGAGGACGTTGAAACCCTCTTGCAAGAGGAAATAAAGATAGTATTTTTAATGACTAAAATTTACATTTTGAAATAATAATATTTATTACAATTTATCTATTTTCATGTTATTCTTACTATACAGTCAACGGTTAAAATATGGAACAAATTCATTAAAAAATCAGGTATTATATTTCAAGAAAAATGCTCGTACACGTTCAGTATAATTTTTTCTTGTGCATTTTCTACAATAGACAGAAAATACACAGTGTAGGTCAAAAAAGTAGATGTCGATGCCAAGTTTCTTTTTTAAATGGAACACCATTTTTTAAAATCCATTTTCGAATTCTTAGTCAACTTTATGATATATAATAATATTAGTAATTCATGTAGCATTCATAAGATCCCTATTTCTTTCAGCAAAGAAAATTTTATTGGATATAGAGACAATACGAGAACTCAAGCAGAAAAAAATGAGAACACAAGATTAAACATTTTATTAGAAGTCAAGGATAATCCCCATTGTGCATCTTTTGTACGAGTAGAAGCTTCAGATAATGATGTTAGCCAACGAACATTTTTGGTGTATAAGAACAAGTATCATCTGTACAAGATTACATTACTACTGGAGCTGAACGAAGATGATCGCGACCGCAGACTATAGTTTTGTGAAACTATGATGCAAACATACCACTTAAATCATCGTCAGATATGGTTTAGTGATGAAGCCACGTTTTGTTTAAATAGTACAGTAAATAAACAAAATTGTAGGTATTGGATTATAAATAATACCCGATGGATGAGAGAAAGACTTACACAAAATCAACAAAAAATAAATGTTTATGCAGGTATTTTACATAAAAAAATTATTGGACCTTATTTCTTCGATCAAAATCTTACTAGAGCCCGATATTTACAACTTCTTCGAAATGACTTAATTCCTACTGTTGCAGTTTCATTTCCAAATTCCAATCAGCCTGTTATGCGAGAGTGACAGATTTGGTTTCATCAAAATGGTTCTCTGGGGATATTTAAAATCAAAAGTATATAATAGTAATATATAAAATTTAGAATTGGATACGAAATAAGGTAAATTACTGATATAGGGTTTAAAGTTTGCTATACTCCAGTCAGAGCAGTTGTGCAGTTACGTCACGTACAGTGACGTATTCAAAAATGATCCGTATGTCTTAGCTATATCGCTACCATTTTTAGATGCGGATTTCAAAACTGACAAACAAAATCCAGTCATGAACTAGATAAAGGTGTTATGCTATGACGTGGATTTTAAAAAATGGTACTGCAAAGAATTATGTTGGACGTGTGTGAGTATTTTTCTTGAAATAACTTTGTTCTGTATTTTCGTTGTTTACTGTATATATTTTCTATCAGTTGGTTCAGAGTGGTTCCGCATCTTCAGTGATGAGAACCTACCTAGTTTCGAACCTGACGAAAACAGAGCCAATTCTTTTCTTTTATAGACAACCGGACTGACACGAGTATTTTTATACCCTCAGACAGGGGTTCTATTCGGAGTAAGGTAGCAAAATTCTTAGGCATAAACTTCAATTTTAACCTTTTACGGAAAAGCCATGTGAATAAGTACCCTTTTATGTTGTAGAAATTGAGAAATTCTCAAAACAGGGAGGTTATATTATCCTTTTATTATGCACGTGTGAAGTCCAAACTATCATATAGTATCATATAGTATGGTATGGTCACAAGGGCCCTAGAGGCTCTGGTGGGGCTGCCCTCTCTGGCGGATCGGGTGCAGATGGAGGCGGCCAGGACAGCTGTGAGGCTGGCGAGCTGCGGGCTCTGGAGGGAGGGAACCTTCAATCGGGGTCCGTACGACATTTTAGAGGGCTGTCGCGGGGATCGCGGGGTCATGGGCATGCCGAGTGACGTCATGATCCCCGAAATGACCTTCTTTGACAAATTGACCTTTCTCTTTCCATCAAGGGAAGATTGGAGAGAGGGCAGAGTCGGCTCCTGGGATGGACTTGTCTGGTGCACGGACGGGGAATGAGGCAGGCGAGGCTTATGATGGATGGGCCCGCCCTTCCTCGGACCAGGGAGCTGCTTAGACTGATCGGAAGGGAGTGTAGAGTACTAACAGGGGCCTACACAGGACATTGCAGGCTTAGGAGGCATCTTTGCTTGCTAGGCATTGGAAACGACCCGGAGTGTAGGTGGTGCATGGAAGGGGAGGAGACCCCGTATCATCTATTCACCGAGTGCCCTGCCTTGACATGCGCAAGATTGGGAGTCTTCGGAACGACCCTGATCGATCCGGACTCAGTGCACGGTATTGGGCTAAAGGAGTGCTGACCTTCTATAGGAGGGGCGGCATTCTGGACGCCCTCTAGAGCGGCCTGGGGGCACAACGGGCCCATCTGGTAGCCTAAGTGCTTGGACGCCCGCGAGGGCGCCCCCCTTTAATACCAATACCAATACCAATAGTATGGTATGGTATACAATCACTTTTGGTGACTATATGCACATTGCCCAAAAAAGAATCATAACTACAATAAAATTTAAACAGACTACCCTTTTCTGTAGAGATCTTTTCAGGGAGCTAAAGCTACTTACTGCAATTTCGTTAAATATTTTGCATTATGCTACAGTTATATTACTAGATTACTTAATAACTTGCGAGTTCCACGGCATGGGTTGAGTCGTACCTACCTATTAAAAGTTATAATCACGTGCCAAACTTAATAGACTTATACCAATGAAAGGAAATTAAAGAACTTATTAAAAAAATATTTCTGAATAAAACAATATTCCTCTTGGAGGAGTTTTTTCCGATTAACCGAGAGGATTCGTCAACGATTGCTGAGGGCGTGTAGGAAATTTTATATTTTATTTTATTATATATTATTTTTGTATTGAATTTGTGCGAATTTTATGAAATAAATAAATAAATAGTATATTTATTATTCTAATAAGCCATCTGTAGTAACGCCGCCGTCACATCGCTTTCATTCACCAAACTCTTTCTATTATATGCAAATTCGGAACGACTTGAGGTGTTTAGGTTTTAAAAACTGAAATACGAAATTTAGCGGAAACTCTCATTGCAATTTATCTAAACTTTACGATAGAAAGTTTAAGATGTCCGCCCTGTTTAGTGATCCCTGTCATTGCAAATGTCCATTTTATTACTCCCTCGCATTAAGAAACGAAATTTAGTTAAACCTTTTATTATACTTAAGACTATTCAAAATTATTATTTGCTTTTGTTTTTCTTTCAAATTGTATTTTTAATGCCCATATTATTAATACTTTGGCACTGATAGTTTAAATATTTAGATAATGTGCTCGGGTTTCAAATCAAATGTCCTGCATATTTCCTTAGCGATGCTTAGAACTAACATAAGAAGATTCCATTGTGGAGTAGAAAATGTATTCCTGACAGATCAAAGCTGTTCTCCACTTCAAGTTGATGAACAACACGCGGACTTGTAATCACAAGCAAAAAGCGGAAGGATTTAAATTCGGAAACTCTAAAAGACGTTCGAATTGCTTACTCCATATTCTTTGAACATAAGATAAGTGTTCAATAATGAATTCGTGTAGTAAATTATTTATTAAGCGCCCAGTAAACAGCTTCGTACTAGGAAAGTGGAGCAAGAAACTTTCCCACCTATAGTTAAATATTGACAACCCATTAATAAAACAAAGGTTCGGATACCAGGGGCGGTTCGATGATTTTAAACGCCACTACCGAAAATAAAAACCGAACGGCCGCTACAGAATTAATTCCTGCTACGTACGCTTTACGTGGGCACCTAATAAAAGTTTTAAAGGTAGAAACTGACCTGGACAGTATTTGGCAAGAGACAAGTCGTGTGCTCCGGAATGTCTGGAACCAAACTGGATGATGTCGATTTCGATCCACAAAGGCCTTTAGAAGAGGCGGATTTCCCGTACTGGGCTATTTGGACGGATATGCTTGTTCCTGCAGGGCATCTCAAGGTGACTATGTCATTGTCGCAGCCGGCCCTTTGATATGTCCTTAGAGTGCCGGATAGGAGAGCTGAAACATATCGTTAATTGTATTACCTTCTCAATTACTCGATTTGTTTAAATTATATCCCGGGGACTGTGGGCTTGTAGACCCACAGCCGCATCAAATTAGAGCACGCGCATCCCAACTTAATGGCAGTTTAAGGAAAGGGAGATAAAATAGTTAAGCCGCGTAACAAAAATCGAGTAAAATGAGTTTTCGCTCACTTGAGAGTGTGTTGATAAACCGCCCGCTCCTTCCGGCTTGGCCTTGGGCAAAAAAGTCCTTTTAGCCCCGTTGTCCGACATCTAAGTAAAGATTGTCGAGAGCCTTTATGCGGAAATGTGTAAATAAAAAGGTACGGGTCAGCTATAAGTAGCCTTGAGATGTCCAATACACTTAAGAAACGTTATCCTCAACGAAAATTAAATTAAACCTCAAAAGAGCCAGGCACGCTTTAGGGGGACGAAACTCGTATGGTGGTTATTATCTAATTTTTTTATTGTTATTGTTTGGTTTATGCGTTATGATATATAGGATGGCCAGTTTATTATAGGATGACACTTCATCTCGATGTCTGTAACAAATATCAAAAAAATCTAAAGATAAAATTTGTATGGATTCTCTTATGTTTACAGTTATCTTTGTATTTTTATGGTCAAGTAAAAAGTTTCTTATTTTAATTAGAATACCAGGTGTTTCAAAGCAATTGCGGCAAATTTAAAACTTGTTTAAAATAAAGGGTAGTTTGATATATAACCCTTGGGCCAAAAGCCAACCCTCAGGGAGATATCGCGCTACCAACATAGCTGAAGAATAATGTTTTTATTTTTTATCGTAAAAAAGAAAATAAATATAAAATATTACGGAGTTGTTGGTATTACAAAAACGAACTTCCTGCATTAAGAATTAGAAAAAAAAATAATTTCGATAGACGGGTTTATTAGAAATAATAAAATGGAATATAAAGCATTGCATGCGGCAAAATAATAATTGAATTGGTTTCTGTGAAACAGTTATATTTTGCACCAACATAAATTATTTATTAATTACTTTATAAACAATCACATTTAAAAAATAATGTATTAATAAAAATGTCTGGAACTAATTCTAATACCTAACTAATTAAAATCAAATAAAAAGACAACAAACAAAATAGGCAAAACAAGAATACAATTTTTATAGCAAGTGTTGAAAATGCCTGCCTGATACTCTGGAATGTGCCTGGATTATTTCTTACGAAGTCACAAGACGCAATTATCCGTACATAAAGTGCCACTTATGCATTAATATAACAATTCAATGATTAGATAATAAATTTTTGATAAAATTCCCGAGCAATTTCTAATAAAGCAATAATAAGAAACGCCTTAAGAAGCGACAGCAGTCCGCTACTTTTTTTTATCTAAAACATTGCTTTATTTTTTATTAATATAATTTATAAACGATGAGTAACTATGATAAAATTGCACGAGGCAAAAGTTTAAATAAAAAATAAAATTAATAAAAAATGCCGTCGCATCAGTTTTTCTTTATATTTAGTTTAATTCAGTCCCTTTCACTATTTATAAGAAATAAAAAAATATGCAGAAAATGTGTGTGTTTATTTCCGTTTTCAAGTTAAAAGATGAAAATATTATTTTTCCGCCATATCTGTAGCGCAATATCTCCCTAATGGTTTCCTTTGACCCAAGGAGTTACCCCTTAAATATTTCGCATTTCTAAGTTTTACGGTTCCAGATATATTTAATTTAATATTTAATTAATTTTAATTAAAACAAAATAATTTGAAGTGACATTTTCAGGTCTAAATATATCTATCGATTTCTCCGACCGAAAACTTTTCTTATATATTTTGGGTTGATTTACCATAGATGGGGAGTTACTTTAGTGTTCAGTGTTGATATTTTAAAAATAAACTAAAAGAAAAATTAATTAAAAATTAAAAATTTTTATAATGATATTCTATGTATTTATAAAGCATTACAGAAATGGCACCTAATATTTACTATTGCTACAAGATGTATTTAAATTCGTTTATTTTCTAAGAATAGAACAAATTTCATCAAAAACAATTGGACAGTTGCTGAAAACTGTCGAGATGGACAAAGAAACGAAATATATATTTTTTTAAAACCGTTAGAGTTAGGCCTTTCACAGCAAACCTCATGTATGTTGTGGATTGTTGAATGTTGCAAATAATAAACTATCTTTGTAATTATTATTTTTTATTTTCGAAGAAAAACTTACACTTACAATGACTCAGTTACACGATAAAAGAGGCTTTATAAATTTTTGAAACATATACATAAATATAATAAATGTAAATACATATACTCTCCATTTCTTGTAAAAATATTTATTTGATAGCAAAAATTAATTATTATAAAATGTTGTTGCAATTTTGTTTCATTATTTTTGTGCTATTTATTAAAATATTGTATAGGCTCCCATGGAGATTCAAAACAATTGACCTAAATAGGTGTATTTTAAAATATTTATTACAATTCTCTTGGCTCTATATATGCAATAATTTTTATCGATTGTTAATACATTTGCAGACATTTTTGCAACTATTTTATGCCATGTAGATTATGTAAAGCTGTCAAATGCCGTTTCTACACTGCTGGTTTTTTTCTTGTTTGGACGTTAGTATTTTTACAATGAAATAATGATAAACGGTTCACCCCGGTATACGATGTTCATCTCCAGCCAGGATTAATCTAAGATTTGTTTATTAGAAAAACAACTTGAGGAACAGCCGATGTGAATTGGCGCTTTTCAAGTGGATTTAGCGGAACGCGGCAGTTAATCGGGTGGATTATTTAGACGCGTACTTCAAATTTAATTATTTAAACGGTTATCAATTTACAAACAACGAGTCGCCGTAATAGAAAATGTATTAAATTTGCCGGACAAATTACACGTCCCACAGCACAGGAATATTAAATGCGCATGAATTTCATCGGAACACGCGAAACAGTAGGCGAAATCAACGGTCAGTGTCAAAATCCGGCAAATATTTGTACCTAAACGTAGCTAATCCGTTTTATACGACTACAAACGGCACTGTATTAAATACGACGGCCTACGCTAGAATTGTTTCAGGTCGCTTTGTTTAATTAAGTCTAAAAACGAAATATCGATACTTACGAGCTAGACTAGATTTTTAACTATTTCAACTCCAATTCCGTAATATCTGGAAAACGGAAAATGAAATCGATAAATTCTAAGGTGAAAATGTAGTATACAAATTTGCCAGGTTGTTCAGTCTGAATATTATTTATCCGGCTAAAATAACAAAAGGCACTAGACCGTTGAATAAAACGCAGTAAACTCTTTTCAATTCCGCCCAGTTAAGAATTAAATGTTCGGAGGTTATCGATCCACAATCTGGCGTACTAATTGATAGCTCAAATAGAAGTACACGGACTTTCTATGTCCATTTACTTGGAGCTCGTTGGGTTTCGGTTAAAAATCGTCGAAATGGTTTCGATTGACGACCATAGACGCGTAATATGTATGCACAATAAATAATATTACTAAAATGAACTGTTTATTGCGATTGATGCTGGCGAGGTAAACAAAGCGTAACGGGTTAAATAAACACGCTCCCTCCATGTTTATAAACCTATATCATGTTTATATGCGTTATTTATCTAGTAAATTTTCAAATTCAAGTTGGACGTGATGAAAAGTAACTGATCATTTTTATTAGTTTAACCGAGGTTAATTATTCATAAACCGCCGCAGGTAAAGAAATTTAGGGCACAGGTCCCGTCTCGTACTAACTGCCAGGCTAGTATAAAAACGTACGAGCCATAAAATGTTTAATAAACTAGAGGCGGAGCGTATGCTATATGAGTGCATCGCATCTGGCCAAAACGGCCGGACGAAAACTGATGTAGTAGCTCGGACCATGTTTCGTTGTTCAATGGAAACGTTAAGCGGACAAGGTCCGCCCTGTATATCTTATCTCTCCTTTTCCAGTGACGTTTACCAGTCGAAACGTTCCTGTCAAATGGTATAATATATGCAGTCCCTGTGCTTGGTTCGGATACGTGTACCCTGCCTCAGTTGCGATTTATGTGCCTAGGCTCGAGCTGGCTTTTTGTTAAATCCCTGTGTTCGTTTTAGACATCTGAACAAAACCGCCCTTTTTTCCACATGCTTTTCATAATCACCCCGAATTGGCACCACAACAATTGATTTATATATTTTTCCCGTATTATCGATGCTTCCCGATTGGAAGGATTCGAAGGATTCCGTAAAAGGATGCCGTCGTATAAGCGATTTATCAAAAGGAAAACGCTTTGCATTTTTCAGAGATAACATTTTTGTAAGATGAATGTATAAAAGGCAGCTGCAAAAAAGTGGTATTTGATGTTAAAAAGTGACTGGAGAGGATTTTCTATATCAGCTTTCAAATCTATTAAGGAGCTTTCGCCGAAAACATATCTGCAAACACTCACAAGAAGCTACGTTTTTCTATTTAATAATAATATAACAATAATAATAATAATACACGACATTATTCATAATATTCAAAGTATAAATGTACGAAAAATATAAATATATACAGGGACAACTTTAGCAGCAAATAAATATTATCGCAACAAATTAAAATCTATAAGGTAAATTATGTGCCAAAAGTAAAGTCTATAAATCATTATCTACTGTTCCCAATACAATAAATATAATTACAAATTTGTGCCTAATAACAGAAACCAATAAATAAATAAAAACAAATTTTATATATGCCTCCTGAATTACTTTCAGTTTTTATTGCAGTTATTGTATTGTTATTAGTTGGACCATACACTCATAGCAACGAGTTTCGACGTTAGACTACTTAAATAATAAAAAAAAAGAAGATACAAGAAATATTTGTGAAGCACCTACATCCAGAGAAAAAACAAATTGCAAAGAATGACATTTGTAAAAATGGTATAGGCAATAGACTTTAGACTTAAAGTTCGACTTAATATTACGGCAAAATCAGCAATAAGAGGCAATTAATTTCCATTATA